TTGCAAATCTGTTTCATTTTTGCCTGGATACTTGGAGAATGATTAACATTTCGATTCATTGCATGCTGTTTGCATAATACCATGCCTGCCTTGATATTCATTGTGCATGAGGACTGCCATGATACATTTTCTGCCATGTTTTGTTTTTTGCACTAATTATCAATAAATGTGAATTTTTGCAACATATTCATTCCTTCATTTATTCGCATAGAAATCTAATTATTTTTTTTGTGGATTACAGAGATTTACATCTGATTGCGGACCATAACTTTATTCTATGAAATATTAAAGAAAGGCCTGAATTAGTAGAAAACATTATATTTTATATATAGATTTTTATATTGCAAGGTTTTTATTTATTATCCTTTCAGGGGGTTAAATTATACAATTTAAATTTCTTTACAATGTGAATATAGTTACTAGAGCTCTTGCTTATATTAAATATTTATTTTTCAGCTGGCAAATGATGAGTTCTGAAATTAAAGAATAAACAAATATATTGGGTTTATAGTAAAAGTTTTGGGGCATTTTATTATATTATTAACATTTTTGATAGTACATCCCAGTTAAACTCATTAACTGTTTCCATCCTAACTATAAAAAACACAGGAATTGTGTTATTTTATGTAATTACATTTAAGGTTTTTCTGAATAACATCCTATACATAAAACATTTTTTTGTTATCCTACATTTTAGTGATAGCTACATATCCCATGTTATAAGTCAAAGTTAAATTATTTCTTAATCAAAATATTTGTTTGTTTTTATGTTTGTAAAGAGAAATGTATTGATCCATAATTTGATCCTTGTCATGATTTTAGTTTATCTGCATATTTTTTTTGGAGAGTGATTAAATGACCACTATAGGTACCCAGACCACTTCAGCTTAATGAAGTGGTCTGGGTGCCAGGTCCAGCTAGGTTTAACCCTTTTTGCTGTAAACATAGCAGTTTCACAGAAACTGCTATGTTTACAAATGGGTTAATCCAGCCTCTAGTGGCTGTCTCAATGACAGCCGCTAGAGGCGCTTCTGTGCTTCTCACTGTGATTTTCACAGTGAGAAGACGCTTGCGTCCATAGGAAAGCATTGAGAATGCTTTCCTATGGACTGGCTGAATGTGCATTCAGCCGATGACTTGAGAAGAGTGAGGAGAGTCCCAGCACCGAGGGAGCCCGGCGCTGGAAAAAAGGTAAGGGATTAACCCCTTCCTCCCCCTTCAGCGCCCCGTGAGTGGGACCCTGAGGGTGGGGGCACCCTCAGGGCACTATAGTGCCAGGAAAACAAGTTTGTTTTCCTGGCACTGTAGTGGTCCTTTAATACTAGCTATTCACTAGTTAAAATCTCATTATGCACTTAATAGACAAGTCTGACTCCTGACGGTGAAAAACATACACTTTTTATTGGTTTACTGCTAAATTATGTATTTTGTTAAAAGACATACTGTCTTCCAACCACTACTATCTGTTTCAAGTGACTGTAATAGACAAATAATGAAATGTAGGTTGTCATAATTATCATCCTTCTTTAGGAATGCCTATATAACATTTAGATGCTGACATCTCTATTTCAAAACATGTTAACATGTAGAGAAATTCCAATGACAAGGAAGGCACTGCAAATTAAAATAATAACTTAAAACTATGTCAGACTGCCCTGATGTATTATTTGACACTGAGAAATGCATTGCTACATGGATTAACCACTCTGTTTGAAGACTACTGGGCAGATAAAATATCACTGTTAGGACTAAAGCACTATATCATAATAATAAATATAATAATACATTACATAAGGTCATGATTTTTTACTCTGGGTAATGCCAAAAGGAAAATACATAGATTTTAACAAAACTCTGTAATATTAGCAAACCAGTAAAAGCTTCAAAAAGTCATATAAAGTTAAAATATGTGTATTTTTAATACTTTTTATTACAGGTTCATTTTATACTACTTTATACATGGCATCATCCAATAGTCAATGTTTGTTGTTTTTTTAGTTTGTTGCTAAGTGGATACTTTTTATTCTTTTTTCTTTAATGGCTAATAGGAAATATAGAAAGGAAATTGGAAGTATAAAGTTTTGTTTTCCTTTTTATAAAACTTTATTTGTTCATGCAAAATACTGCCATGGTTGGCTTTCCATTTAGTTGGTTAAAAAAATAAAAGTCACACACTCAGCTAAAGGAAATAGCTTATCGGAACAAGTCCTATTCATTTATATAGAAAAATTACTTAGCATGTGAGTGTGACGTGAGACATATCTACAGGCTCAGAAATTCAGAATAACAAATAGATCAGAGTCAGTGTATTTGTAGCAGATGAGACAATTTCAGAATTGTTTGTGTTTAATTTATTTGTATTTGTATAATTTGTATATTGTTCCATCGAAAAAAGTTATTAAAATAAGTCTCATAGTTTATGGATACTCTCTTTAATCCATAGAGATACTCCAACTCCAATCCTTACAATTACCAGAAAGACCACTGTGAAACAGTGGTTTACTATAATTATTTCAGATTGTCAATACCAATAATTGCTAAACATCTGCATTACAATTGTGTTGATTGAAGTATAAAACACGAAGACCTTTATCTTTTTCATCCAACTACCTAAGAGCAAATCTCCCTACAGGGTTATCTGAAATATTTGAAACACACAGAAAAGTGATTAACAGGCAATTATAGAATTGTGACATATAATAGCTGCTAAACACTCAATTGGGCACTCCACAAACCCAACGCATAAATAAAAACACAAAAGGAACAAAACTCAGAGTTTAATATGGTTTAGTATATACTGTGATGCTGATACTTCACCTTTTTCCTGCGGTTCCTGAATTTAAAGGGGCAGTATCATGCCAAAAGTTGATACAATACTTATACACTCAGAGCCAGGTTAAGGACTCTGAAAAAGGTGAGCAAATTGGCCCAAAGATTTGCAGTCTTCATTATTTATGTTTATGCAAAATACTACACCCTGATTCTGTTACTTTTAATCTCTTCTCAGTTGTGAAAATCTGGAATCCCCTTTGAAAAATCAGAGAGTAAAATTTTAATGATCTTAGTGTTGGCAGGTGTTCATAAAAAGGTTCTCAGAATACTTCCGGTTTTCAAGTATGCATTCATACTCTGTAAATGGTGCTTTCAACAGACCATATGTAAATCTGTGGATTCCAATTAAGGTATCCACCTATCTTGTTTTAAAATCACATGATCGAAACAACTGTCATTCTAATAATGGCTCTGTGCCGAAGACTTCATATGGCAACGGAATATGAAATAACAAGTCAACTCTTCGGCACAGCACCATTATTAGAATGACAGCTGTTCCGATCATATGATTTTTAAACAAGATAGGTGGATAACTTCCACAGATTCTGCTTGGCTACAGAGTGTTCCATTTCAGTTACTCTGTTGTTTGTCTTTTATTCACTAAACTTTATTGAAAAAATGTCTTTGTTGCTGGAGTTCAGTAAAGAAAGTTAAAGCATAATACTTGCCTCCAGTCTTTAATAAAATACATATTTTCTGACATTAAGACTAGGAAAATCTTGAACTGTCCTTTTAAAAAAAGAACACATGGCTAAAGATTAGAATCATTCTTAACCCCTTAAGGACGGCGGACATTCTATGCCGTCCTCAAGGAACAGGCTCTAAACACCGGAGGGTGGCATAGAACGTCCAAACCGTCCTTTCTACTTACCCGGTCCCCCTCTGTCCTCTTCAGCCCCCCTGGGCCATGTGATCGCGAGGTCCATTCCGTCCAAGGCATTGCCAGCAGGGGTTGTGCCTGTAATGACAGGTACTCCCCCTGCTGTCTGGAAAAAAAACCCAGTTTAAAACAGTGTAGAATTAAATAATATATACTTTGCTCATATATATATATTTATTATATATATATGAGCTAAGTATATATATATACACACATACACATACACTGTCTAAGTGTATTTTAATAGTAATATATAAATAATTATATATATTTATATCAAAAAAACACGTACAATGATATTGATTAAATATTTATAATTTTCATTATATATATATTTATATATAATATAAAAAATGTAAATACGTTAAAAAATAAAATAAAAAAAAATAAAAAATATATATGTAAATTCGTTCTAACTGTATTTTAAAATTAATATATATGTATTGATATCAAAATACATGTAGAATGAAATAATATATATATCTATATACATAAGTATATATCACTATATATAGTATATATAAATAAAAATAATTTTTAAAAAATACATATATTTATATACACACACATATATATAATAATTCTACATATATATTTATGTAATAATTTTACATAACTAGGCAATTTTATTAATTACAATTAGCAGGAACAGCCTGACAACCCAAGCCAAAAGTCCAGGGAATTTAATTTGCTAGCCCTGTAACTTTCCAAGACACCATAAAACCTGTACATGGGGGGGTACTGTTTTACTCCGAAGACCTCGCTGAACACAAATATTAGTGTTTCAAAACAGTAACATGTATTATGACGATATTGTCAGTGAAAGTGACATTTTTTGCATTTTTCACACCCAAATGGCACTTACACGACAATATAATTGTTGTGATACGTTTTACTGTTTTGAAACACTAATATTTATGTTCAACGAAGTCTCCCAAGAATAAAAGTACCCCTCATGTACAGGTTTTATGGTGTTTTCAAAAGACAGAGAGTCAAATATAAGGCTTGCATTTCAGTTTTTCAGTTTTTTCACAAATTTGCCAGATTGGTTACGTTGCCTTTGAAACCGTATGGTAGCCCAGGAATAAGAATTACCCCCATGATGGCATACCATTTGCAAAAGTAGACAACACAAGGTATTCACAAAACTTTATGTATATAGATATATATATTATTTTGTTCGAAGTGTATTTTGATATCAATATAGAAAGCAACCCTAGCACTCACCCTTATCCAACTAATAGAAAATAATTCTTGCCTAGGTGAAACCTCAGCATTTCCATATAAATCCAAAAAGGTAATAGGTGCACTCATAGGTCTTATTTCCAGTGGTTCTTTTATTTAGTTGTGCAAATTACATGTGCAAAATCAAATACTACCGACCAGTCGGCACAACCAAATAAAAGAAACACGGGAAACAAGACCTATGAGTGCACCTATTACCTTTTTGGATTATATATATATATATATATATATATATATATAATTATTATTCTTTTCAATTATTTTTTTATTTTTCATTTGCAACATACTTATATATTTATTTATTTTATAATATATATATATATATATATATATATATATATATATATATGATTATACACATATATATGTGTAATTAATAATATTCTATGTGTATTTTGATACATATATATGTATATATGCAAATATATATATATATATTAATACTAAAATACACTTAGACAGTCTGTGTGTATATGTGTATGTATGTGTGTGTGTATATATATATATGTATATATATATATATATATATATGTGTATATATATACATATATATACATATATATATATATATGATATAAGTATATATTGTTTAATTTTACACTGTTTTTTAACTTTATTAAACTTCATTACAGGCAGCAGGGGGACTACCTGTCATTCAAGGCACTCTCTCTGCTGGCACTGCTATGGACGGTTATTCCATCCATGTGATCTTGAGGTCTTTGCAAAAACCTCGCGATCACATGGCCCAGGAGGGCCTGATCGGCAGTGATATAGATCCAATGTGATCTTTGTTATATTCAGGGGAGCCCAAATTGTTATTTCAAGTGCACTTGGAGGAGTGTGAATTCAGACACCAGACGCATGTTGGTTATCAAAATAAGTCTCTGTCGTTTATTTATCAGTATGTGTTTTTATACATTAAAAAGTTTGTGCTTACTTGCAAATACACATAGAACAGTAGCAGGAAGGGAGTGAAAGGGTGAAAGGAGTACAGATAAGACATAGAGATGAACTTTATGTATATATAACAGATAAGTTATGTGAAAGCAAATGAACAGACTGATTTAGGAGAGACAGCTCACAGGGTGGCTATCTGCTCCCGGAACTAGACATATATGGTCTTATGTGTCGTTTTAAGCATTAAGCATTTCCTGAGTCCAAGTTAGCCAATTTTAATATAGGCTATCTAGTAAGACACCTGTAACGGCACCCCCAGGCACAAAAGGGGTTAAACCGCCGTTTAGAGGATATTCCCCTTCCAGATATACAGGCAGCTACTGTAGACACCAATCCACCGAACCGAAGAAGCATATGAATGCTCTCAAACATACGAATGCTGTAAACAGCTGAATAGGAAAAACCATACAAATAGGTTTACACTCCTAGCAGTCATACAATAAGTGGAACAGTATGCAATAAATCCCCCCCAAGAACGAGACAAGGCTCCGTTTTGAGGGTCAAACAGGAACAGACAGAGCTGTGGGTTTTTGTTCTTATATACACATTCTTACACATTAGTACCATCCACAGGGTTTTGGAAAACAACCAATAAACATGTACAATACACTCAGGCACTCCCACACAAAATCCTCCCCTCTACCTGTGATACAATTACCTTACACAATGGGTAATGTAATTATCACAGGCAGAGAAATACAGTTTTTTCCACATTATTCATAATTTTAAAAGTATGCATCACATTCACATAAAATACACTACATTTTCAGAATCAGCATACTCCAAATACAAACATATGTCAAAATCATACAAATTGGTCCAGTAGTTCAAAAGATAAATCGTAGTCCTTTGTGACCAAATGAAGCATGGCTTTTCTGCCCAAAACCAGTTCCACAGAGTCTTCTATCCTGGAGATAATTGGGAAGTAACTGTGCAGCTATTGCATAAAACAGGTACATTGAACATATTCCCAGATAGCTCAGATCTGAGCGCACATTATTACTGAATGGCGCTCAGATCACACACATACAGTTCAATTGCCATGGAGCCAAAGTCTTTCCATAGTCTTTCATTATACGAATGGGCTCCATGGCATAGCTATCTGGGGTATCACCACTCAAACAGGGCAAGCACCGAATGACCCGGCTTTTGTGTCTTTGCAGGGGAAAATCAAGCGTTTCAACATGGGGTCAAAGTCTAAAGGCAGCAGACGGGCAACCAAGCTCCTCCAAAGCACAGTGGCGAGATTGGTCTCGTCACAACACCTTTAGGCTTGAACCTTGGAATCAAAGTAAATTTTTTCACAGCAGCAGGGGGGCTTCCTTAAGGGGTTAAACTAAGTTCTCTCACTTAATTTTTTTATTAATCCATAATAATCTAATTTTGGAAACTCATTTCAAAAGTGACTGATATTGAGTAACCATTAGCAATATTGTATCTGTTTTTTTTTTATTTTAATAGTGTTATAGGCCCCTTGTTTTCTGCTGTTCTAGCTGTATGAAGGCCCACCAAATATTTCTTGCTACCGAAACTCAACTGAAACAAACAGCAAAATGAACTTAATTTTTAAACCCACAATAAGTATACAACAATGTATAACAAAAAGAAGAACTATACATAAGGTGAAAAAACACATACCAAAGTGTATATAAAAATATTACACAGTGTAATATGTACAAAAAAATGACACTGGGTAGGGGAAGAAGAGCACTCACAAGATGAAACTGGAATGCAAGTCTGTCTCCCCAAACAGGGGTAATTCAGAAGTAATTCAGAGGAGGATAAATTCAGACCATCTTCAATCTTGAGATGTATATAATAAAGTTGAATAGAGTTTGACAGCTGTGTCTCAGATTCTGCTTTTTAGTGAAAAGATTGCCTAATAAACACAATTCGAATAGAGCTTGACAACTGCATCTCAGTGAAAAGCCAATGAGCCGCTGGGAGCAGAGGAATTGTGTTTATTAGAAAATCTTTTTACTAAAAAGCAGAGAAGTCTATCTGAGAAGCAGTTGCTTATTAAAAATAATGTACATATCACATTATTGTAATTATTTTGTTCTAGATATTATGTTGTATATCTTTGCAGGTTCAATATATATTTTTTATACATGTGGATGTGTGTTTGTAACTTATGTAAAGTTCTCTGTTTTGTTATACATTACTGTATACTTATTGTGGGTTTATATTGTTTGGGTGCTGTGAGACACTTTAAGGAGACTCTTTCTGCCTACATGTAAAACAATGTTTTTGTCTAAGTGTTATGGAAGAACTGAAATTTTTCATCCTGCACAAGTCTACAAAACAATGAAAAAAGAGTCAGATAACTGACAATCCTAACAAAAGTACATAAAGATACTTGTCAGAAAGGGGCAGTGGGAAAGGTAGGCAAGTGATTTCTAAAAAGAAATTCAATATATAAGGGGCTAATCAGTAATGTCCGTGTGGCCTCAGGCCTGAATGGGGAAAAACACACAGTTGCATATGGACCATTCAGACTACGAAGTACTGACATTGTTCATGCTATTTTACAATGTCTGGATTTTGCAATTCAGGCCTCGAATGTGCCTGAAATTGATCCGGGTTTCAGCCCAATCTAATGTCGTTAGACATTTGAAATCAGGACCCAGAGGCTTCAAATCCAGGCAAATATTGTAAAAAAAAGAAGATAGTACATAGAAATACATACATGTGCCATTTGTAGTTAAGTAGTCACATTAGTACAATTGTGAAATATAATTTGATATGTTTACAGATGCGTTGTGAGGCGTTTGTACAGAAACGTGTAAATTGCAAACATTTTAGAAGATGATAAAAATGAAAAATGCATTATTTGTTGCATAACAGTGTAACGATGTATTCTAGAATTTAGAGGTAAATGTAAGTATTGATAGAAAGTTGCTTCAGGGTAGTGCACGATGCACTGATCAATGTACCACATGGCAAGGCACGTGGTCGAATTTGAGGATGTCTGATCTTTTCTTCTGTTAAGGTGGGTATGCAATGAGGAGTTTAGAGGAATTGTTATAATAGGTGACTCCATTGGGTTGGGTTGTAAGGGGCTAATGGTATCATGGCTTGAGTACCAAATTGCTGTCTGGTAGGCCCCCAATATCTCTGTATTGGTGCCACATTGATGTAAGTTGTGCTCTGCGTTAAAATGAGGGCATGGGTCACAACAAATGCACCTTTAGTAGGTCACTAAGGGGGTAGAAGAGAGGAAAAGGTTGACAGAGTTAATTTAATGTCAAGTTAATGTTCTTTGTATTGAGCATAATATTCATCTTATATTTATCATTATGTAGCACATTTCTGATCTATTCTCTTATGCATATTTCCTCCCGTAGTGTTATTCAGCTCAAAATTTCAGAAACTCTCTTCTTTTCTTTGATTTGTCTGTTTAATTCCTGCTGTTTTATGTTGTATTTCACTTGATAAAACTCAATCTACCTATAGTTCAGGTCCAGACCCTATAAATATATTATTAGTTTGAGAATATAATTTAGCTGAGGTTTACATTCAGTTAGCAAAGCCTGTTCAAAGTACAATAGTTCAAAGCACTTAAAAGTTGAACAAGGGAATTAGACAGGAGAGATCCACAGCTTTAAAATCGCAGAAGACTAAAGGAAAGCAAACTCATTAATTCTATTAATTCTAAGTTATTTTTTTTATTTCACAACAAACTCTACTACATTGTATTTCTCCCTTTCTTCTTCTTTCTCCCCTCTCTTTTTCCTAAATCAGCAAATTCCCATTAAAACATTAACAAATTAAAATTATTTGTAAATCAATTTTAATGCCCTTTTAAATGTGAGTGGCATGGATACAAAAATAAACTTATTAACATTTGTTTACATGCTAATTTTCATTTTTAGCAAACTTAGTTGTGTTCTACTAAAATATGTTCTTTAGTCAATAAAGAAAAAAAAACAACCTTACATACATATGTAGTCATTTCCATATGCATTCTTGAGGTATAAGCAAATAGTCACATGTAGTCAGTGATCTATTAAAAATTTAGATAGTTATCATACATGGACATCAAGATTTTCATCCTACCTATGTGAGAGTCTAACTGTTTTGATATTGATTGGTGGAACATATTATATTATCATTTTCTGGACTTGGAGAATTGTTTAATTATAAACAACTCATTTGAAATTGGGCCGTGTGATAAAGTGAATGGTGTTGTTTACGAGGGAGTTTTTATTTCTGCTAAATTGTTTACAGAGGCATATGACATTTAACCC